AAACTTATTGTGTTTTGAAACTTATTTATTTTTGGAGTTTTAGTTTATTGTTTAGTTGTACCAGCCTGTTAAAACTTGAGGTTTAAGTCATACTTTGAAAAATGGGGAAAATAAAAAGCGTAGAAGCAGTTCCAGCGATTCAACATTCAACCAGCTCATCAACAAGTATTGACTGTGCTGGACGCTATAAGAAAACAACTAGAAAGTCCAAGAAAACCGATAAAACTCAAGACAGTAGTTGTGACAAGAAAGCACAGAAATACCTACTAAAAGAAATGTTCTGGAGGGTCTTTCAGTAAATGCTCCTTAAGCGCCTGACTTTAACTCCTACTCGAGTCATTATAGAAGGTTCACAGTTTAAAGGAACTATGGCAACAAGACAAGCACAACAACAAGGCTTAGAAGAAATCATTTGAACAGGTTACAGATGCAAATGTTGCATCACCTCAAAGTCGTAGTTCAATTACCATGCATGAAAGTGATTCGCAGCAATCGCAGCGTAGAGGCGAATTCGACAACTGGAAGATTTGGTCAACCACAAGAAAGCGGCGGAAATCGCGGTATAAATAAGGTAACAAATAATTCAAAGTGTATACCAGAATTTAATTCAGGAGACTAGAAAATAAGCTGTATAGCAAATGGCAAATGGTTGGATAAGGTACACCAACTTGCACAAATAAAGTTTACAAGGTCTAGCTAGATTGGTTGATTGGTATGAAGGACTGGGCAACTACAAAGTCTCTTGGACGGAGTGGAAACGCATGGTTATTTAAGCATTTTCTTCCAAGACTTTCTTACTGCGCTGAAAAATATGATAGAGCTTGAAAAGATGAACGAACAATCATGGAATGATATTTTAATAAAATGCAGCTTCTTCGTCAGTGCGAAATACTTTATCTTCGGTGCCGGTATCAGTCAAGAGACGAATAGGATTTCCTAAAGAGCAGGAGAGCCGTCACGACTACGCGCAGAAGTCTGACATAAGTCAAAAACTAATTGCAAAGATTATGGACATATGTTTAGGGACTGACCCAAGCCTTAAAGGGAATGTTCACATAAAGCGCTAATGTACGAAACCAATCCTGAGGCGGGATTCTGTAACGGATAGATATCGTCATTTCTATCGCTATGGCACTTGCTGTCTTCTCTCTTTTCGAAATCAATAGAGAGAGGACGTCAATAGGGACAGTGAAAATATCTCTATTCATTACAGAATCCCAGCACTGATTCAAAATCCGACGGTTATTATGTGACTTGTGATTTGTGAAGTGTGAAGTAAACGGGCAGGGTTTGTCTGGTTTTATTGATAGCGGATGCGAGGTGTTCTTAAATCGTGAATCGGATGCAAGAACTTGGTCCACTAGTAATGTTAGGTACCTCAAATGGATTTGGACTGGAGGAGCTATTACCAAGGTAGGTAGGTATTGGGGAATGACAAATCTAATCTTAGAGTAGATCTATTTGAAGTTGAAACTTTACTTTTTATGGTGCCCGACAATTCGCAGAATATGCCAGTTTTAATTGGTAAGTCAGTGTTGAATAAAAGTTATGCGATAACAGTAGTTCGCAAAGGAACTGTTAAGCTTTTTAGCAGTGGTTTAACTGACTCATCAAAAATTGGTGAACTTCCACCGAAAAAGATAGTTTTAATGACAACTGTGAACTACTGTCAGCCGAGATCATTCAAGAGTCTAGATCGCCTTATCCAAGTCCAATTGAAGAAAAAAAAAAAAAAAAATTAAGAAGAAAAATGGTGAAACACGCATGCATAGATTATCGCGCTGTTAATACATAAACAATGAAAGACTGTTCCTTTACCAAGAGTGGACGACCATTTAGAGATTTTGAAGGGATGCAAGTATTTTACGACCTTGGACATGGTGAGCGGTTACCAACAAATGCTAATGGCGAAAAAATGCCGAAAAAAAACGACTTTCGTGACTCCTGATAGTCAGTGCGAATACCTAAGATGACTTTGGGATTAGTAAATACACCAGCGATGTTTCAACGGACGATCAACTAGATCCTAGGCTTCATGAGATTTTTCTACTGCCTTAGTAAACATGGACGACATCTTGGTCTTGGTTCTTTCTCCTAGTGTAGCTTCTGGATTAGTTGCTCTAGGGGATGTATTTATTTGAAACTTTCCGAAATGCAGGTGTCACTTTGCGGCTATCAAAATGTAGTTTCTTTAAGGAACAAATTGATTATTTAGGACATGACATTAGTGCCGCTGGTATACGACCGGCAATTTCTGCAGTAGAGAAATTTCCTGTTTAAAAAATGTGCATCAGATTCGACAATTATTCATCAGTCTATGCAGCTATTTCAGGAAATATGTGAAAGATTTTGCACAGATTGTCCATCCTTTACTTACCAAAAAGGAAGTAAAATTTAATTGGGCATAGAGCAGGATGGTGCTTTCACCCAAACTTAGAGGAATTTTGATCAAGAGGCCTATACTGGCCAAATATGACCCTGAGTGAGACACAAAGGTTCACACCGATGCTTCGTAAGTTGGGCTTGGTGGAATTTTATTACAGAAACAGGAGAATGGCAACCTAATGCCAGTACTTTTCTTTCAGCTCACAGACTGCAAAGGAAGAATAAAAGTATCACTCTTACGAACTCGAAACGTTACAGAGGTTTCGAGTATGGGTACCTATTAGGACTATCTTTCAAAGTGGTAACGGACTGTAGTGCTTTGAGAACTGCAATGTCAAACCGCGCCGCGAACTGATTCCGCGCATTGCACGTTGGTGGCTTTCTATCCAGGAATTCAATTTCAGTGTAAAGTATCGCCAAGGATCAAAAATTGCACATGTGGATGCATTGAGCCGAAGCCCAATCACAGAAGGTAAACCCTATTAAAGATTAGAAATAATTGACATTGTTACTCTCTGAAAGACAATGAACTTTATCGGAAAACTTCTGATGGCTTAGAATGGTACGTTCTTAAGGCAAGTAGACGCGTAGTAGGTAACAATGTTCCATCATGACAAAGGGACCATTTTGCGATCGAAAAAATTCTAAAAAACATTGGTAGCAAATATTGGTCCCAAAGAATGCGAAAGTATGTGGGCCGCTATATTTCTGCATGTCTACCATGTGCATATATTAAAGCACCTCTGGAAAACAAAATAGATTTCTTTATAGTATTGAAAAGGAACCAATCCTCATGGTACATAGTCTTCACGTTGATCGTGTGGGACCGTTTGTGAAGAGCACGAGGCAAAATGCATATTTGATAGTAGCAGTAGATGCTTCTACGAAGTTTCTTCATGTCAACCCAGTCCTAAATACCAAAACGAAACAAATAATAAACTTTTTGGAGAAATTTTTTTGACTTTTGGGTCACCTAGACGCATTATTTGTGACCGAGGATCTTGTTTTAACTCGAGGATGAAAAAAAGTGGGACGTGTCAATTAAGTCTATTGTTTTCGGAATTAATTCTGCAGTAAACAGTTCCACTGGGAAAGGGACCATGTGAACTGCTTTTCGGATATAGACCAAGAGCAGTGGGCGATTCATTTTTAAGTAGGTATAGCTGTCACAGAGGACGCTGTTGAAAATTATGTCACACAATCTAGACAAAAAGCTGCTTTAAAAATTCAGATTTTTTCAGATCGCTCAAGACAAGCAAAAAACATACTTTGATGCTAAAAGAAAGAAATATGATAAGTATGTGGTAGGGGACAAGATTCTTCTGAAGGAGGAGAAGCTTTACAAATGAGGGTAAAAGCAAGAAGTTGCACGTTGCAGTTAAACGATTTTTCAGGGACGGAAAATAGGGTAGCATGGCCGACTGTAAGAACATTGCTTTCCTTGGGTTTCAACTAGGGTTTCAAGTAGTATTTAGTGGTCTCTATACGTGAAAATCCCATAAGCGAAAGATTTGAAAAAAAACTCCGTCCGATCAAAAAATTTTAATTTTTTGAGCTCAACACTTAAGTACCTACATTATTTTCAGTGGGTAAAGTCCCAGAAAAGAGAAAATTAGTCAACAAAATCTGTCATTAGCTGATGGTCTATAACCACTGTGTCCATGGATTTGTCTATGAATGTTCCCCTACCTACTCCAGATTTAATTAAATAAGACCTACTTTCTTGTGAGTATATTTTATGTTCCTCAAGACTCGACAAATGGTCAGAGGCAAAAATCATTCACAAAGAAGCAAATTGGTGCAAACGGAAATACAAGTAGGCAGTTTTATGAGTAGGTATATCTACTTATGAATATCAAAAGGTAAAAGCAAAGCAAACCCATTTGGAAACCTTTGTTAGCAACAGCACAGCATTGCATAGCATAGTAACATTGGTAATAATGGCAACCCTTAAATGGGCATCTAAATTCCAGGAAATTCGGATCCAGCAGGTGATTTCCGAGTCCAGTTAAATTTGGATATTTGGACACTTGCAATCTACTTAATCCTCACACTTGATAACGTTCAGTGATCAAAGCATCGTACCTTGAAATTAATTCAGACAATGGAAGTCAGAAATTGCAGTTTTACAAAAACATTTTCGGTTCAGATTTGTTATACTTGTAGATAGGTACCTCTCGAACTCGAAAACTCAATGATTCCGCCAGTTTTGTTAGAATTTTTTGATAACCTTTTTCGCAGATTAATTGAGAAGTATATAATTTGAACAGATTTCAACTGCTGTTCCATAATCCATAGACAATCTTCTGACGTAGGTACCTAACAGACTCTTGTTTTGGGATTTTGTAGTAGTAATAGTTTTCAAGTAGGTAGGTAGGTAGGTATTAAGAGAATCCATTTCCGTTGTCAATTTTTCTTGATTGTTGTTGGAAGTTTCTCTTTTGTAGAGAAGAAAAAGGAATAAAGAAACAATAGAGTTTGCATCGCATTCATAAATCCCTAATTGTTTGTATGGCAATGACAGCACCCATACTAATGCCAACTCTAAAATCTTCCAATAGTTCCTTATATAATATATTTTATTAAGCAATATGGATTTATTATTTTACTTCCAGAGGGTCAAACCACAGATGATGCAACTGAGACAGTTGATACAATATCCCATCAAGCACTTGCGAAGGAAAGTTTCATGGATGTAAGTAAAATATCGACCAACATAAAATAGCTAGGTACTTCTATTTCTTGTATTGATCTTTTAGGTAGGATTTCAAAAACCTTCGCCAAGACCAACAGACAATTTACCAAAGAAACCGCCTTTTACCTACACGGAATTGATTGAGCATGCATTGACTGAGCAAGGACAACTAACTGTTTCTGGAATTTATGCCTGGATATCGTAAGTGAATATTTAGTTTGCTGCCCTAATCATTTATCAAACAATGTTATGGCCCTCAACTCGACCCTTAACTAATTTACAACTGACACAACCAATCCTCCACCTGCCCAATTTGCCCTATAAATTCATAGTTTTTATTGGGCGATTAACGATGGGAAAAAGCAAGTGAACCAAAATTGAAGTGCATTCGAGCGGCACAAAATTACTGTTTGATGGCATTCTGCATGAGGACTATTTATAGGGGATTTGACGAAGCTTTGAAAAATTTCAAAGACAAAGCCAGAAAGTATTACCTACTTACTTTTTTAAGGATATGCATTGCATTCTAGACTGATTTCAAACAATCGATTGCTGCATTTCTCAGTAAAATACATATCTATTCATGCATATTTTTATTAAACTTGAAAGTTCATTTCTGCGGCACTGGGACTCCAAAAACTTTCCCCAACTCTGTACCAGGCACCGTTTTATTGACGATCTTTGGGGGAACTATTAACACAGAACTTTACTCGAATCCCCGAGCAAATTTATGTCTTAACCGCGACCGAATATTTGGAATAAACCGATTGTGGTTGGTGTGCACATTTTCATTCAGCAGATCGGTATCTTCATTGATTTCGATTTTTCCGATACATACCCAATTGTTAATCGATAATTTGAAACATATTTGAATAGTATTTTACTAGATGATTCTATAAACAACTGATGCTGCTAATGAATCAACTGTTCATCAATTGTGCATTTATTCGTTTCTTGATGATTCATCAACTGTTATGATTGCAATACCGACCGTAATGAAAACAATACCGTATAACTTCTTTTTAAATTACTTTTTATTACAAAATGATACTTAGTTATTTGAAGCGAATCTTACGAAAAGGTATCTCTATGACTAAAGATGTCTCATGACTGACCTCCTCTTTTCAAATCCTGCTTGTACGATTCCTTCTAGAATGTTCCTAGTACCTACAAATTATATTTTCGATTCAGAAACTTGTATTTTAAAAAACATTTATTTTATTGATTGAAATACAGAGGTGACAAAAGAAAATATTCGGATCAAATTGCTACAGGCTAAAGCCAGGAAACAAATGAACGCTCCTTATGGGGCTGCATCGGCTTAAATAAACATTTAATGCCGACATAGCAATTTGATGTTTACTTACAACAATGTATTTAAAAAGTCCTAGAGGAAAGGGGTAAGCACATTAAAGCATATAAAAAATAGATAATTGATTATAAATCAGCATGGCAATTGGTTAATATAACTCCTCCCTCCTTAATATGTTGCAAACGTGGATTGTTGTGAATTCAAATCAGACAATTCAATTTGCACATTAAATTTGCACAACCTTTTTCTGAACTTTTAAACTTCCTAAAACAGTAAAACAGTAAAATTAAAAATAAAATAGCAAGACTTAAACCTATGATTACATATGTGTTTAAATAAGAGTGTTCAAAAGACAATTCTTTTAGATTATGAACTCTTATTTGTTTCGTCGTCTTGAAGGCTTCTTCTAAGTCTTCTTGGTTGATTTCTTGAAGTTCCAATGTTGTTGCGTTCTCTGGAAGTTCAGGGATGTCTATTCTTGGAATCTTCAGTTCAAAATTGAAGTTCTCGCTGGTTTTTGAAAATGTTTGATTTTGTATTTTCACAAAGCATTTTTCAAACGAAACTAGCGTTGGATTTGTTGTTATTTCCATATGGTTTGTCTTGTCACATTGAATAACTATGGTCAGGCTTTTCTTAGGAATGACTAATAGTTGTCCATTCGGCAGTTGTCTCACTGTTGGTTTCTAATATTTCACTTTAGTGAAAGGACATTGTTGTGGTAGGTCAGTAATCAGGTCATAGACACATGATTCTTCTTGCTTCAGCTCTTCTTGGTTACAAAGGTACACACTTTCGACTTTCGGGCATTCCCATAACGTATTGTAGTAAATGTCCGTAGTAAGTAATAGGTAAGGGTACTTATTCCTAATGGTAAGTTCTTGGATAGGAAGTGGATAGATTTTATACAATATAAAGGGCTTGGGATCAATCATTGGTGTGTGTATAACAAATATAATTAACTCATTTTGGATTTTTACTTGAGTTTTCATTGTCTCATAATACTTGATTTTATTATCAAAAGGTATTTGCTGACTTTTGGGTATATTTGTTAATATTTGATTTAATTCATTATGCTGTAAAATAGTATAATGCATTATTCCCAATTGTGCAAAATTTATTGCTAATTGCACATGATCAATAAGATTCCTTATTTTATTACTTTGAATATTGATGTTGTTCAATATTAGATTAAAGGTTAACATTGAGTGGGAATTTTGGTTTTCCAAGGAAATATTTTGTAATTTTCCTGTGATAACCTTTTGGTTAGATTCAATAGTTAAAAATTGATCGTGAAATGTTTTTGTAACTTGTTTCAATACTTGAGCCTGTGTTATTAGATCTTCATTGAGAGTTTTTTGATTATCATTGAGCGTCTGGATATAAGAATCATATCTTGCGCCATCTTCAGCATCTAGGGTTCCGTAGAGCCATTTTTGTGCTGTGCCCATGAAATTTAATAGACCTCTTTTATTACGTTTTCGGTCTTGGAAGGTTCTGATTACCTGTTTCATAATCTTAATTTGAGAATGACTGTTTTCAATATTTGTTTGAAACAGTGCAACAAATTGGTTTGACCATGTTGTTTTGTTAAGAGTGTCAGATAATTTCATTAAGGTAATTTCCAGTTTATGGATACTTTGTATGATAATTGTCGTGTTTATGTGATAATAGGCCGTGTTATGTTGAGTTGTTACGTAAGTAGTTCCTAAAGAAATTGGTAAAATAGGATTTGCTACCGTCATCAATGTATACGCTTGGGTGACTCCAACGAGAGTTAGGAATACTAAAGAATTCATCTCGGAGTACCTGAAATAAATTATTGTCGTTTAACATTTTGTTTAGCAAAGCGATTCAGTGTTTTGCTATCATAACGCGGACTTATCTTGTCTCTATTAAATTGTTTTACAAAAATTGGATCTTGTAATTCTGGTTCAGGTTCACGATTTTTATTACGTGACTCTAAAGACTTTGTTTGTTTCGCTAATAATTTTTCTTGAATTTCTTTATTCAAATTCGCAAGGGATTCTGCCAAACTTGTTATATTAGTACGGGATACGAGGCCTATTTCATCAAATCATTTTACACCGTCTTGCATTGTTATCATCAGTTAGATAACATGGTACTGAAACGCACTTGTGCAGGGAAATAGATAGGAGTGGGGGATTTCGCTGAAAAAAATGTTTCAGAAAATGTCATCATAAACGAGGAAAATATTTAATTATACACCGTCTTGCATTTATTTATTGAGTTAATTTGTACATAAACAAAATTGGATTAACACATGCAAGACATTTTCATGGGGGTTTTGGGGTTGTAATATAAGATGGAAATTGTCAATTTTTGAGAGGGGTGAAATATCATTTTACACCACTCCATTGTTGATTTATATCAAAGCTTGAATGTAGAATAGCCACTGGATACTGATACAAGACGTCCTGTAGAGGGATAACGGGCTGCAAGACGGATGTCAATGTGTTGTCTCATGAGGGAGTGAAAAATTATTTTACACCACTTCATGCTTATGTCCGCCGAAAGAATCTATGTTAAGAAATGGTATTACATCAGTCCAAGACGTTTTTTCTGGGAAAAAAAGTTAAAAAATCCATTTTAATTTTTTCACTGAACTGTTGAGTTATTTACTGAACCGTTCAATGTTTATTCTTTTTTAAATCATACAGATGAAAAAGGACAGTTGACATAGCAGCTCAACAGGGGAGTCTGTTGAATACAGGAATTATAATTTTTGTTTACAATTTCAGACAGATTATTTGTTGTGTCATTTTCACATTTTTTTGCTGCTTTAAAATGAAATTCTTCAAATTTAATGCTTACAATCTGTTATGTGCACAAAACATGTTATGTGTCATGGGATATCCACCTCAAAGAGAACCTAAATGATTAAAAGCCGTCAAAAATAAAACAATTTTCAATCTTTTTTTATTTGATGTCCGTAGAAACATTCATATATACATATTATTAGGAGAATTTCGCAAAATAGAATTATTCTACGTGGTGAAGAGCAAAACTATTTAAAATTAATGTGCATAATTTGTAATTTGAAGTAGTATTCACCTTTGTACCTGATAGATTGACCCTTGTCAAAATTAGTCAACTTCATCATCGTCTTGCAGTCCTTTCTTCCCATTTAGAATGTCTTGTATTTTTAAAAATGTTATCAATGTGTTCTATTTTTCCCATAAGTACCAGTGCAAGACGGTGTAAAATGATTTCTCCCTCCCTCATAAGACAACACAATGACCTCTGTCTTGCAGCCCATTATCCCCTCACAGTACGTCTTGCATCAGTATCCAATGGCTATTCTACATTCAAGCTTTAATCTAAATCAACAATTGAGTGGTGTGAAATGATATTTCACCCCTCTGAAAAATTGACAATTTCTATCTAATATTACAACCCGAAAACCCCCAGGAAAATGTCTTGCATAGGGTATTCTAATTTTGTTTGTGTACAAATTAACTTAATAAGTAAATGCAAGACGGTGTGAAATTGTATATTTTCCTGGATTATGACGACATTTTCTCAAACATTTTTATCAGCTAAATTCCCCACTCCCATATATTTCACTGCGCAAGTGCGTTTCAGCATCATGTTATCTAACTGATGATAACAATGCAAGACGGTGTAAAATGATTTGATGAAATAGGCCTCGTATCCCGTACTATATAGTCAGTTGTTAGTTTATTTTCCGTTTGTTCAATGGGTATGGCATAATTATTCAAATCTCCTTTAATCACTTGAAAAGGGGTGTGATTCATTGTACTATGAGTACTGTTGTTATAATTCAATATAGCGATTGTCATTAGATCAATAATACTCTTATTCGGGTTTTGGAGTTTTAAACTCGTTATACTTTCACGTAGTGGCG